CTTCTGCCCTGGGAAGGAGAGAGTAAGGAGGTACGAGTCACCAGGAGTGTTGTTCTAGTGGAATTTCTTTCTCAAGTCAAGAAAAAAAAAAAAGGTGGAAAAATTTGATAAAAAAACAGAATAGACACAGAGGATCAGTTCAAGAATTATCAACTGACAATTCATTCATTTTGTTATAAAGAGTCGCTTCAGAACCCTCTGACATCAAAATGACTCCAGGGTCAACTGGCAACAGGTGCTGGGTGGTGTGTGTGGCATAAGGAAGAGGGGGCTCGTCTGCCCCCTCCCTTGGAGGGTGTGACTTCATGAGTTACTGTTCTGGGAAACACTGACCCTGGTGTTGTCAAAGCCATGTTATCCAGTGTCATTGAGACAAGTGCAAATCATAGCAACCCTGTGAACAGCAGAGCTGAACCTTGTCCTGTCCCCACAATCTCTGCCATGTCTAGGTCATTGTCACAGTCATATATCAGTCCGTCTTGTTGAAGTCTTCCTCTCTTCTCTGAGCCTCCAACTTCCCAACTATGATGCTTTTTCTAAGGAATGGCCCTGGCTGATAGCACACTCAAAATATGTGAGATACAATTTCACCATCCTTGTCTCTAAGGAGCATCTTGCTTCCACTTCCTCCAGGATGGATTTTGTAAATTTTATGATGGCCAGTGGGATAGTCAACACTCCTCTCCAACTGCAAGGCTATGGGAGAAACTGAAGAAATTGAAGAGTGGAAGATACTAAGAAAATTTCTCAGTACTTCGTACCTCTGTTGTTAGATACCGTCAGATTGACCTACTCTACGTATAACAGATAAAACCGTATCTGATCCTCTGCCATCATCCACAATTCAACCGTTAACACCAGCAAAAATGATTACTCATATGTGAGAGCTGAATGAAGATGATTTCCATGTGCAAGGATTGAGAATCTATATCCTATGTACCTTTAAGAAGGCACCCGAGAATATGCTGCAGCAAAAAATAAATAAAAAAATAAAAATAAAAATGCATAAGCTAACAAGAAGGAAGCTTAGTGTTAGGAGATATGGACCAACGTAAGAGGATGGTCCATTCTAGATCTGCTGTTAGGTCACTCAGATTAGAGTTGGAGGAAAAGAGGGCCATGGGTACTCTAACAGGATATCAGAAGTGATGGAACGGATGGATGGAATGACCCTATGAACAGCAGTGACTCTATAAATCCTGTAATCAGAGCATTGCCCTATCTTATGACATCCTAGTAATCTCTGCCTTATTCAAGCCCATTGGCAGAATCATTAGAGAAACAGGGAAAGATGATGTCATAATAGTTGCAATTAGTAGTAAGTAAAATATAAACAGCACTGCTGGCAGCAGTCAGGAAATCAAAAGACTAATTGAATTGAGGAAATCTGCTGTCAAGGACATCTCCAAAGTCCTAAAGAGTAATGGTGTCACTCTAGAGACTAAGGCACACCTGATCCATGCCATGGCCTTCACAGTTACTTGTTATGCATCAGAGAGCTGGACAGTGAAGGATGATGGAAGAATAGTTGAGGCTTTGGACTTGTGGTGCTGGAGAAGAGCATTGAACATACCATGGACCACCAGGAGAACAAATAAGTCTGTATTAGAGAGGGTGAAACCAAATTTCTTCTTGGAGGCGAGGATTTTGAAGCTCCATTTCATTTAATTTGGACATGTGCCCAGGAGGGACCAGTCCTTGGAGAATGACATCAGGCTTAGTAGGATGGAGGGACAGCACAGAAGAGGAATACTCCACATAAAGTGGATTAACATGGAACTGGGGCAGCGGGATTAGGTGTGTTGGAGTCAGTGAGACTGGCTCAGAACAGGGCAAGCTTCAGAGCTGTTGCACATAGGGGACTTGATGGCATATAACAGTAACAACAACAAAATATAAAAGAGAGTTCTGATGGCTTAAAGGTAAGGAGTTGGGCTGCCAGCCCTTAGGTCATTTGAATCTACCACCTGCTGTGGGGGAGAAAGATTGACTGTAAATCACCAGGTGACTTACTACCTCTCCAAACTTTCAACAGTACATAAAAACAAGAAAATAGAAACACCACCACTTAGGAATATTTTTCTTTAGTACAAGGGTTGTAATACTGAAGTAGAGATAATAGTTGTGGCACAGAACTTGCTTGTGCAGTTCACTATATAACTTACTCATTTTATTTTAAAATATTGCTATTGATTGTTCTTGTTGAGAATATATATAGGCAATATATGCTAATTCAGGAGTTTCTGCTTGTGCCCCTTGGTGACACTCACCACTTTTTGTTATTTGCTCAACTATCCTCCCTCCTTGTCTTGGTTGTTTCTTCTCCAGTAACATAAATTCACTGACCTCTAAGTATCTACCTCATCTTTCAATTACCTGTTGCCAAATTGATCCCATATAGATAGTTCTTAAAAGATTGTGAGACTCAGGGCTGACATTTTGTACTGGTTAACCCACTGTTGTTTGGTTTTACGAAGGCTCCAGGAGATAATTTTTTTTATTTTTATTTAAGGTTTATTCCAGGGTGTTAGTGTCAGAGATTTGGTCAGTCTTCACGATGTCAGGAAATTTGGATTTCATTTGGCTCCAGAATTTGAAATTCTCTGCTTTTCCCTTTCTTTGATACGGATTCTTCGATAGGATCTTTGATCCAAATGTTTAATCATTGTAGTTGGGCAGAGTGGCATTCTTCTACTCTGATGGCAAATACAGCATTTGTTCATGGAGGCTGTTAGCCACACGTCCTGTGTCTTCCTCCTATTCCTGATGGTCTTACTCTACTGTCCTAGTGAATAAAAGCCAATTATTGTGCGTTGGATGGACATACATTCAAGCTGTTATAATCCCAGACACAGCGTAGCAAACTAGGAAGTAGACAGAGGCACTAAATATTTTATTAGGCCACTTAGCTGGAATGTCCCATGAAGCCATGACCTTGGACTTCCCATAGTAAGAAAACAGATCCCATGATGTGTTTGATTGTACATAATCAGCATCAATAGATGCTCTATTTTTTTTTTTGTCGCTGTTGTAAATAGATTTATCACGTAACTTGTGCCAGCTTTTTACAGGTGTACAACTTATTGACGGCAGTTAGAATCATTGACTTCGCAGTGTGTCCTTAATCAAGGTGATCTTTCTATCACCATTAAGCCCTCCTTTCCTCTTCCCTTCTAATGAAGTGCTTACTGTTTTCAGAGATAAGAACCTACCTCTAGACATATTGTGGGAGATCTTAATAATGGTTACAGAACCGATTGTAATTATCTTTGTCAGTATAAAAGGTAAGGCCTTGATTATAGAGGTGGGAAAGTAGAAGGGAAGGAGGAAGGAGAGACTTCAGGTATCCTCGTCCAAGTAGAGAGAGAGCATCTATGATTTTGGGGACTGGAATAGGATCCTTGTTAATTTCTCAGGCTGTGTCTTCATGAGACATCATCAGCTCTGTTCTCTTGTGAAGCTGCTGGGGGGAGGGGGCAACAGCTGGCCTTTCATTTAGCAGCTGATGCTTAATTACTGTGCCACCAGGATTTGGGATGGGGGGAGCTAATTGCCTCTCATGAGCTCCCTTAATCAATTAAAAAAGCTTTTAATATTAAGATGACTTGGAAAGTTGATTAGCAGGGCAGGAATCCAATGCAAAACTAGGGGAGAAAAATGATGATTGATTATGTCCCGAATCATGTATAACGATAGAGAGAATGCAAGAGGTTTTTAGTCTGAAAACATTGAGTAAAAATGTCAGAGAAATCCATGTATTTGGATATTCTGTAAATTGGAAAAAGTTGAGTCTTCTTGAGATTTCATTCGAACCTTTCCACATTCTTGTCCTAGTCTCCTCATCTGTACAATTGGAAGAGCTCAGGGTTGCTGTGAAGACTGTCAGTATCTATAATCCTCTGACCCTCTCCAAGGAGCTTTGGGAATGATGCAGCAGAGGTGTCTAATCCAGAGACCACAGTGCACACCCATCATCCCTGGGCACAGACCTCACAGTTCACAGCAGAGGTGTCTGCAGGTTAAAGCCAGCTAAGATGGGCTTGTCCCTCCCTTCTTTATTTCCTTCCCGAGAGAGAATAGAACAAGCTCAGCCTGGACATCTAGGCTAAATGTGGAGTTGAATGATAATTGCCCTAATTTAATACTGATCTTACAGACACCAAATGACTTTAAAAGGGATGTCCTTCTCCCCTGTGGAACCTGATGCTGTCCTTTTATGCTATCCTCTGTCACTCTGGGCCGGTGCATTAATACTCAGTCTTACTCCTCAATGATCTGCAGAATAAATGTTAGTAGACTTCATAGAAGTGTTGAAACTATGCAGCCATTGAGAGAACATGCATAATACAAAGTGTTAGCACAGTGTCTAACCTGTAAATTGTTGCTGTTGTACCATCGAGCCTGAACTGACCCTGCAGTGGGTTTTCAGAGGCAGTTAATTGCAAAAGAGAAGATTGCCCATCTGTCTCCTGTCAAGCATCTGGTGCATTTGAAACATGTGCCTTTGGGATTGCAGTAGAGCGTCTTACTACTAGGCCACCAGAACTCCCTAAACTATACATAGCAATAAATATTGTTGATTTGTTGAAAGATGTTTAGCTTAGTTGTTATTTTGTTAATTTGACAAGTACCTGTTTTTAGGATAATAAGTCTTTATTCAGAAAATATTCTCTAAAGTCTCACTTTTCATTCTGGCCCTCCACTCAACTCAACTCCTGTTGAGTTCCACTTAATGAGATTTTTAACAGACTGATTGATAACCACTCCTGTTGAGTTCCACTTAATGAGATTTTTAACAGACTGATTGATAACCAAGTGGTCTGAGATAAGGCACTGCACCTCCACATTTTCCCCACCACAGGCAGGGACACCCCACACCTTCCCTAAGCTCCTGATCCGGGCTGCTGGAGGCACTTCCTGGTGGCCTGGAAGTAAGGCAGTGGTGGCCTTGCCTTTCCTGCGCCCACCTCCACTGAGCCTGTACCTGTCTTTTCCGATAGGCGGTAAAGCGGTTCTTGAAACAAGAGTGCAAGTGTCACGGCGTGAGCGGCTCCTGCACCCTGAGGACGTGCTGGCTGGCCATGGCTGACTTCCGGAAGACGGGCGATTATCTCTGGAGGAAGTACAGCGGGGCCATCCAGGTGGTCATGAACCAGGATGGCACCGGCTTCACTGTGGCCAACAAGAGGTTCAAGAAGCCGACCAAGAATGACCTTGTGTACTTCGAGAATTCCCCAGACTACTGTATCCGGGACCGAGACGCAGGTGAGTGCAGAACACTTCGTTCACACCACCGAGGGGCCTTGGGGGCTCCCTCCACTCTGGGAGATGGTGGGCTAGCTCACATCTCCATGGCAGTCTCGTCTTGATAGCAGTCACTAAGGGATGTTCCTGGGGTTGTGTTTGTTGTATGTTTCTGTTCTTTCTTCTCCCCTGTTAATTTTAGAATGAATATTCTTTAAAAGACACAGCAGTCATTTATCTCTTTGCTGTATTGAACAACTTGGAGTTGCTGTGATGCTGAACACTGTTCCATAGTCATGTCAAATGCCAAAATAGTTACCCATCACGTACAATGTTTGGAGGAGCTTCCAGATTGATTCGTGTTGGGAAGCAGGAGCGGCATCCACTTACTAAACTAGATGCCTCTGGAAACACTACGCTACTCTCTTATAAAATGTACAGAAATGATGGTAATTATAGAACAGAGTTCAGGTCTTTTGTACAAAGCTTACTCTGAGTCTTAACCACTGCTTAATGAGACTAGTACTGTTATATCTGGAGGAACATTCTTCCACTTTACACAACACTTTTTGTCACTGCACTCTTTGTGCCATGGGGATATCAAATACCATAAGGGTTTCCCATTGTGGACAGTGTTTGGTGGAGCTCCCAGTTGTAAAACAGGTTTGGAAGCAGGAGTGGCATCCACTTCCTAAACCACATGCCTCTGGAAACTATGAACTTGGAGAAACATGATAGCTATGAAAAGGCATTAGATCTTTTGTTCATAGAGTCTCTATGAGTCAGCCTCGACTTGACAGTGATCAACAACAAAAACAGTTAGTTCAACAACTGTCAGTCTACACGTCTGTGAAGCTGACAGTCCACACGTGGGTAAAGCTTGGGCCACTCTTCAGTCAGCTATTTCTAGTAATGCCACTTGCTGCCCTGAGGTGATTTTTCTCAGAACTCATATTTGAAAGGGAACTCTGATGGCCTAGTGGGTAAGGCATTACGCTGCCAACCGAAAGGCACGTGGTTTGAATCTACCCACTCTAAAGGAGAAAGATCTACAATGTTCTGTGCAATTTACAGCTTCTCAAAACCCAGTGGAGGGTCAGCTGTGGGGTTAGTGCTGACTTGACAGTACATAACAACAGCATTTCTGTCAGTGCACTCCTGCTGCCTTCAGATGGTGTTTCTTATATTTCATACTTAAAGCAGAGAGCTCTCCGAAACTTCTGGAGAAACTGGCTGAGAATGGGCACATTCCGGAAATGTCAGAACCCAGTGGGAAGAAGGTATGCGGCAAAAAGTCAGAATATGCAGATTAGAAAAATTCTTCAGCCTGGACCAAATATAAAGCTTGACAGATGTAAGCTATATGTCATCGTAACCCAGCACCTTTCAGGGGCTTGTGGAACGCTGAGGAGGAGAGCTCTGTGCTGTCTATCCCCTTCCCCTGAAAAATCCAACGTTATGACTCACTGGCCTGCTGTGAAGTCTGCCATGTTTCGCATGACCTTGCTCTTTCTGAGTCACATGCTCAGGAGCTGCCAAGTCCTGGAAAAGGGAAGAATCACCCTACCTGCTTAGCGGTAGTTGGGCGAGCTGTTAGGATTTCACTTATTAAAGTCCCCGCCCGCCTTCTTTACCCCAGCACCTTCCCCGCCTCAGACTCAAACAGCCTCAGCCCAGCAGCTTTCCCACCTGGCTCCTTTGACACTGGAAGGCTGGCTGCTCCCCTCCCATCTCTCACCTTCAGGGCCAGCTCCAGGCTGAGCACCTGCCCTTCCAAAGTCTCAGGTGCAGAGTGGGAGGTGACTGGCAGTTTCAGCCCACTTCCACTCACTCACATCAGCCTCTCAGGATGCAGGGAAGCCCATTCCTGAGCAAAATAGCCTCTATTACAAATTTTGAGTTTGTTTCCCCTTTCAAGATAATTTCTGGGAAATTGATAAAATAATGAGGATGGCAGACAGCTTCTAAAGTCACATTGATTAAGCAGCATAATTACCAGAGAATGTTAAGTCCAGCACCTGTTTTTGCCCCTCAGTGGATCCATGTCCTTCACAGTTTGATGAACTCAATCTTTGTAACAGCAAAGCAGGTCCGTACAATTAGATCGTATATTTAACAGCCACAGAGTGAAAAGACAAGGAGTCAGGGTGGCCGGATTCTGTATTCTCCATTCCTGACACATTTTTTAGGACCTTTGTCAAGTCATCCTACCTGTCAGACCACCGTCTCAGCTAACTTTCCAGGAAACTTGGGCTTTGGGTCTCACAGGTTTGGCTTCTCTTCTGCCATTAGCTGTCTGACTCCAATCTTTCTCAGTTTAATGGGTAAATGATGACATTTTGATCTTTTTAGCTGCTAGGTATGAGTCCTGTGTTCCAGATACTGGGCTAGGATCCTTGTACACATGGTCTCAGGTAATCCTTAGAACAGTGTATGGATCAATGTATTAGAACTGGTTACTTTTTAGAAAGAATAAGGAAATGATGGCTCTTGGTTGGTCAATACCAATCAAGAGCCAGATTCTCACCTTTTTTTTTTAAGTCAGGTAAGCTAGCCCTTAGATACCTTTAAGGCGAGCTTTGGTGACACAGTGCATAGATTTGTGCTGCAGACCCAGAGGCTGCATTTTCCCAGGGGTTTGGAACCACCAGCAGCTCTGTGGGAAGAAGGCGGACAGTCTCCTCCCATTGTGATTTACGGCCTTGGGTGTGTAGTGTAGGGTCGGCTGTGAATTGGTGCCCACTTAATGGCAATGAGAGATAACATTAGGAGTCCACTTGGGACCCCTGCTGATCAGTGTGCCCAGCTGCTAAACAAAGGTTGAAGGTTCAAGTCTATGCAGAGACACCTCCAAAGAAAGATCTGATGTGAAAAACAATGTATATGAACATTGTAAGCACACCAGTATTAAAAAAAGAAGAAGAAGAAAGGTTTGGTGATGTGCTTAGGAAAAATCAGCCACTGAAAACTGGAGATCAGTTATACTCTGATACATGTGGGGTCACTGGGAGTCACAGTTGATGTGATGGCAATTATTTGGCTGTTTGTTTGGTGTGTGTGTGTTTTTTTTTAAATACTGGTTTGCATATAATAATTAATATACATTGTGATTTGTACATTTGCTTTATATTTTGTATAGTAATATAGGGTCGCTATGAGTCGTAAGCGACTCGATGACACATAACAACAACAACAAAAGTTCATATACATTTTATTTTATACCATTAATTACCATTGTTTTATGCCTATTATCACCCCATCTTTTCAAGCCCCCACCAAACTTTTCCCATTAGTTCACTCCACCCCCCTCTATTCACTAACTTCTGCCATCCCAGCAAATTTTTCCCCTGCCCCTTTTTTCCACCCTCTGCTCCTTTTTGATCATTTATACATATCTTTCTCAGTTGTCTGCATATTTTCACAATAGGAGCCCTTTGCAATATTTGTCCTTATGTGACTGAGACAGTTCACTCAGCACAGTGCTCTCTAGTCTCTCTCATAGTATTTTACGAATTTGTTGCTCTTTAGTATTGCAGTATTCCATTACGTGAATGTAACATGTAACATTGAGCGGGATATTCTGAGGAGAATGAAGATCTATTAGGGGATGGGAGATGAGGGTGTTACTTGAACTCCTGTGAAAGTCACGCCAGTGCTCACAGCTCATCGACATCTTCACACCACTTACTTCTATTTATGTTGTTGTTGTTGTTATGTGCCGTCGAGTCGTTTGCGACTCATAGCGACCCTGTGTACAACAGCCCTAAACCCTGCTCTATCCTGTGCCAATCTCATTGCCTCTGACACACCCATCCCGATTACCCCAGTCACTGAATCAATCCACCTCATAGAGGGTCTTCCCCTCCTGCGCTGTCCCTCTACTCTACCCAGCATGATGTCCCTCTCTAAAGACCTGTCTCTCCTTACAACATGTCCAAAGTATGTCAGATGAAGCCCCAGAATCCTTGCCTCCAAGGAGCAGCATGGTTTAACCCTCTCTAGGATGAATCTGTTTGTTTTCTTGGCAGTCCATGATACATTCAATACTCTTCTCCAGCACCGCAGCTCAAAGGCGTCAATTCTCCTTCTATCCTCCCTAGTCATTGTCCAACTCTCTGATGCATAACAAGTGATTGCAAAAACCATGGCCTGTATCAGGCACACCTTAGTCTCCAGAGAGACACGGTTGCTCTTGAGTACTTTAGAGAGGTCCCTAACAGCAGACTTTCCCATCGCAATATGTTTTTGATTTCCTGGCTACTGGTGCCAGGAGTGTTGACCGTGGAGCCGAGCAAACTGAAGCTGTGAACAATCTCAATCTCTTTGCCATCCATCCTGATGCTACCGATTGGTCCAGTGGTGAGAATTTTTGTCTTCTTGACATTGAGCCTCAGTCCATATTGAAGGCTGCAGTCCTTGACCCTCTGCAGTAAGTGCATGAGGTCCTCCTCAGAAAAGAAATTTGAGGCTCTCTCAAAAAGTTTACTGGCCTAACACTATTGTTATTACTGTTGTTATGTACTGTCAAGTTGGAACCAACTTATAGCTGACCCTCCACCTGGTTTTGAGAGGCTGTAAATTGCTTTGAAGGATATTGTTCATCCTTTTCTCATGAAACAGCTTATGAATTCGAACTACATGCCTTTGGGATTACAGCACGTCTTCTTACCATCCAGCCACTGTTATAAGTTTAGTAAACAAAACAAAATAAACATTTAGAAAATCAAAGCAAAAATTCCCTCTCACTGCACCACATCACCTCCTGAAATGTGATGTGGTGCTGAGGGTGGTGATAGTGGCCTGCGTGTATTGGAGAAATTGGAGAGGTCCTACATGGTAAAGCAGCAGCCTGAGGACTTGGGAATTTGCTGGGGTCAGGCACCCATGAAGGGGTGGAGCAGTAAGAGTGATCACAATCAGGCTTCACTTCCTTTTAATTGAGATTGGCTCCAAGCCTTTTACAGTCACATTTTCAAGTGTGTTCCTGTCTTTAGTTGTCCCTAAATTGTGGTCACCTCAGA